GAGGCTAACACAATAGTTAAGCCTTTCTTATTCTTTTATTTCAACACGCATTATAGGTGCCAGATAGCGAATGCAAAACAGAGGTATAAATATTCACAACAGCTGTAATTTTACCAACTGCTAGAGATACCGACAACTGATCTTGTGAAGTTTTATAATTTTCTCTTTTCACATTTCAAAAGAAAGACTAGTTGGTTGACAATCAATGAACTTTAATGGCGTATTATTTTTCTAGGGATTGGGAAAAGATCAATAATTGAAGAAGAGAAGTGGATCCTTTTCCTTTTCCTTTTTTATTTTACTAATCTCCACTCCTTTATCTTAGGGTGTTCTAAAGTTATTTTAGAATGCAAGCTTTATTTTTAATCTAAGATGGGTCCGGGAGGGAAGAAGCGAATGATTACATCAACTTTGAATGTTCGAGTTTAATCAGATTGCACATCTGTTGGTATAACACGACCGATTAAGAAGGAAATTTGTGACTTTTCTTCTATTATTAATTTAAAAAATGCTCGTAAGTGTGGACCAAAGCATGACCGAATCAATTTCCCTTTGCTGTTGTGCTAATCACTTGTTTACCAGCATCTATCTGTGAGTCCACTTTATTTGAAAAATAGCTATATTGTTCTCATGTCGTTTTTGGAAAATGATAATTGCATCTCTGCAACGTAATTATGAACCAGCTGTCTCGGCCATGCGCAGCACAGCCCAATTCGGGTCCCACCCTCCCATTTCTATCGCTTAAATAATAAAATTGATTCGGCCATGCGCAGAACAGACCAATTCGGGTCCCTCCCTCCCATTTCTATCGCTTAAATAATAAAATTGAAGCGAATCTTATGGAATTTATGAGGTTCTCTTGACACGTCATACCTGAGGTCAGGCTCAGGCATGTAATCTTATGCTATGCTATACTAGACTAAGGACTGTTTGATAGAGATTCTCATTTTCTACAGTAAATCAATTCTCATTTTCAATCACACATTCTTCAATAAAATAATATTTTCCATCAAATCAATAATTTTTTCTTTTTTTTCAACCACATATTTCTCATCATATCACTATTTAAAATCAATTCTTCCCCCAAAAAATCCATACCAAACAAGCTTTAATTGCGTTCAAATAATCACAGAATAAATTTATCTATTCGTCAACTCTAATGCAATGCATAATTAAAATGGAATTCGTTGCTGTCGAAATATACAATTCAATTCGAACCCCCCAAAGGATGCATGTTCAAACTCACTGAAGCGAACCATCCAAAATTTAGAGCTTGTTTGAGAGGGATTAAAATCAGATTAAAGTTGAAAATATAGCCGTTATTGTTGACTTTTATTAGATGAGTGGGACCCAATAACGGCTATATTTTCAATTTTAATTTGATTGAAAGCTCTCTCAAACAAGGCCTAATAAAGTATCAAGGGTCTGTTTCGTACAAATTCTCATTTTCTACATTAAATCAATTCTCATTTTCAACCACACATTCTTCAATAAAATAATATTTTCCATCACATCAATAATTTTTTCTTCTTTTTCAACCACACATTTCTTATTATATCACTATTTAAAATCAATTCTTCTCCCAAAAAATCCCTACCAAACAAGATTTAATTGCGTTCAAATAATCACAGAATAAATTTATCTATTCGTCAACTCTAATGCAATGCATAATTAAAATGGAATTCGTTGCTGTGGAAATATACAATTCAATTCGAACTCCCCAAAGGATGCATGTTCAAACTCACTGAAGCGAACCATCCAAAATTTATTATAATTATTTTCTCTTAGTTATAAATTTCCAAAATATGTTACTAGGTTCAGGATAGCATATTTAATTATTGCCTTAACTATCCATTTTAAATGGTTAAGTTTCGATCCAAATTGACCCACCACTAAGGATGGGTCGATGCTTAGACCAGCTTTTCTGGATTATCATTTTGGACTTTATTGACCGAACTTGTGAGATCCCTTGTCCAACTTGACATATCGAATGTCTAAAATATACTAGCATTTTTCATAATTTATGAGAAATAGAAAAGTAATTGAAAGGACACGTGTGGGTGTTGTATGTAAAGGAAAATGAAATTTCACTCAGAAGAATCGTGTGGGTCAGCACAACATTCTATGCATGCATCTACTTTGTACATTTTAATTTATTTTATAATTTGGTCCTCAACCTTTTAGTTTCCTCTTCACAAAAAATGAAAAATAAAAATTAAGAATTCCGAGCAACACGTGACTCTGAATGAATCCAAAATATGCTTAGTGCTGTCATCCAGTCACCCCTAATTTCATTCTTCTTCAACCTATTAGCTTGAAATTACAGATATTCAATGCTTAAAAAAATAAATTTACATTTTATTTCTCATTTAAATATGAGGAGACAGCTTGAAAAAAAAAAGATTCTTATGGTTAGAGCGTAAAAGTTTGCTTTTGCTACAATTAGGATGAATAGAATGAAAAAGGTCCTTTTCTTTTTATAAAAGGAAAAAAAGTTGATAATGAGACCAATTTTCCTAATTTCAACTGTTGTTTTCAACTCTGAATAATTTACATCCATTCGTTCAAATTTACTCTCTGCATCCTCCACAGAGACACCGAAACACTTCACTCTGCTCAAACACTGCCAATCTCCAATGCCAAAATCTTCACTCTTCTTCTGTACACTACTGTTAGTATTTGCTTTCGCAGATGCTGAATTACTGAGAAAAACATTTATCATTCGCGTTCAACGCGATGCAAAACCTTCTATTTTCCCTACCCACAAGCATTGGTATCAATCGACTCTCAGATCCCTCTCTCCCACTGCAATTGACCAAAAATCGTCCGATTCTACTGATGTAATTCACACTTACGATACTGTTTTCCATGGCTTTTCTGCTAAGCTCTCTACTTCGGAAGCTCAAAGGCTGGAAACTTTATCTGGGATAGTAGCTGTGATTCCTGAGCAAGTGAGGCACGTCCATACGACACGCTCCCCGGAATTTCTTGGCTTAAAAACAAGCGACAGTGCTGGGCTGTTGAAGGAGTCGGATTTCGGGTCGGATCTTGTTATTGGAGTCATTGACACCGGGATCTGGCCTGAGAGAGAGAGTTTTAATGATCGTGAGCTGGGTCCTCTTCCAACCAAATGGAAGGGCCAGTGTGTCGCCGGAGAAAATTTTCCCGCGACCTCGTGCAACCGGAAACTCATTGGAGCCAGGTATTTTTCCTCTGGGTATGAAGCCACTAACGGGAAAATGAATGAAACGGTAGAGTTTCGGTCTCCGAGAGACTCCGATGGGCATGGGACTCACACGGCATCTATAGCCGCCGGAAGGTACGTGTTTCCGGCTTCAACTCTTGGTTACGCTCGCGGCGTTGCAGCTGGAATGGCTCCCAAGGCACGGCTTGCGGCTTATAAAGTCTGCTGGAACGCCGGCTGCTATGATTCTGACATACTGGCAGCATTTGACATCGCTGTTGCAGACGGTGTTGACGTCATCTCTTTAAGCGTCGGTGGAGTAGTTGTGCCGTACTACCTGGACGCTATAGCAATTGGAGCGTTCGGCGCCTCAGACGCCGGAATATTCGTGTCCGCCTCCGCCGGAAACGGCGGGCCCGGAGGTCTCACCGTTACCAACGTTGCACCCTGGGTCACCACTGTAGGCGCGGGAAATATCGATCGTGACTTCCCTGCCGACGTCAAGCTCGGTAACGGAAAAATAATCTCCGGCGTCAGCGTCTACGGTGGACCAGCTTTGGCGCAACATAATCTCTACCCGCTAATATACGCAGGTAGTGAAGGAAGTGACGGGTACTCTTCTTCACTTTGTTTAGAAGGTTCATTAGACCCTAACATTGTGCAAGGGAAAATTGTATTGTGCGATAGAGGGATTAATTCAAGGGCTTCTAAAGGTGAAGTGGTGAAAAAGGCAGGTGGCATTGGAATGATTTTGGCAAATGGAGTTTTTGATGGTGAAGGATTGGTGGCTGATTGCCACGTGTTGCCGGGGACGTCTGTTGGGGCATCTGCCGGCGAAGAAATCAGAAAGTACATCACGGAAATGTCAAAGTCTAAAACTCCGGCAATGGCTACAATAATCTTTAAAGGTACTAGGGTTAATGTCCGGCCCGCTCCGGTCGTGGCCTCGTTCTCGGCTAGAGGGCCTAATCCTGAGACACCGGAGATTTTAAAACCTGATGTTATTGCACCAGGATTGAATATACTAGCAGCCTGGCCGGATGGTGTTGGGCCGAGTGGAATTCCATCTGATAAAAGGAGGACCGAGTTCAATATATTGTCGGGGACATCAATGGCTTGCCCTCATGTTTCTGGGCTTGCAGCATTGTTGAAGGCTGCTCATCCTGAATGGAGCCCTGCGGCAATTAGGTCTGCTTTGATGACAACAGCTTATACAGTGGATAATCGTGGTGAAACGATGTTGGATGAATCAACAGGGAATTCATCGACCGTGATGGATTATGGAGCGGGTCATGTGCATCCTCCGAAGGCTATGGATCCAGGATTGATTTATGATTTGAGTTCTTATGATTATGTGGATTTCCTTTGTAACTCGAATTATACGACCAAGAATATTGAAATTGTTACTAGGAAGTATAAGGATTGCAGTGGAGCGAAAAGGGCTGGCCATGTGGGGAATCTGAATTACCCTTCACTCTCAGCTGTGTTCCAACAATATGGAAAGAACAAGACGTCGACTCATTTCATCAGGACAGTCACCAACGTTGGAGAATCAAATTCTGTGTATGAAGTGACGATTAATCCACCAAAGGGATTGGTGGTGACTGTGCAGCCGGAGAGGCTTGCGTTTAGGAGGGTCGGGCAAAAACTGAACTTTCTAGTGAGGGTACAAGTCCGGAAAGAGAAACTCTCCCCTGGGAATTCAATATTGAAGAGTGGGTCTATAGTGTGGTCGGATGGGAAGCACGACGTGACAAGTCCAATAGTCGTGACAATCCAGCAGCCCCTGTAGTAAAATCCGAGGGTAAGCAACTTTGAGGATGAGCTTTTCCGAGGAGTGGAGACTTGGCCAAGTAATATCTTGATACTTGGTAATGCCAGTGTTTAATATATAATGAGAATGTGAATGCTACTTGAGAGAGCGCAGAGGGTTGGTATTAGTTGATAAGTGAAGGATGTTGTGTTGGTAGAATGAGTGTCTATAAAATGTTGCTGTGTGTTGATATGGGTGCTCCTTTGTCTCTCTATTTTCCATTTGACTTTTCTCTAATTGATTATGAAATGCTGTTGGTTCTTCACTGAGTTATCTTTTAGTGCCTTGTTGAACTCGACCTCGGTAGCCTAGCCTAGCCTAGATCCATGGAAGAACAAGAGATATAATTGCTTTAAAGTTTTTACACTCATAATTGCTCTAGTTAATACTTAATTGCTGTACGATCTAACTCGTGTCCTTTTTTTCTTGATTTTAATTACATCTTTCACGTGCACACACTACTATTTAAAAAGTGTAATTTCCATAATGACTTCATAATTCAAAATTATGTATGAATAGTTGCACTCAACTCCTCTCCTAGGTTAACTTCAAGTTTTTGCATCACTTTTTATAATGCTTTTATCAAATATCACACAGATTAATTTCCTTCCCTTTAGAATGACATCGATAAAGTTTTTCATAGGCAATTGTTTAAAAAGTAAATATATTCACAATAGAAGACACGAACGACAACGTAGACGAAGAAGAGCAAGATAGGCCATTACTCACAACGTAGTAAAATCCAAGGGCAAATGGCAGGAAAAGTTTGAACAAATCAAAATACCTTCCATCAGCTGGGGCCACTCATTTTGCTACAGACGAAATATAAAATATTAGGCTGAAATGTATAAGGGCCCAGGTCCAACATTGGGTCACAAAATATCTAGTCCATAATAACTGGTCTTAGAAACAAAAAAGTTTTTAAGGGAAATAGACACAACTAGCACTGAAATGTTGTGTTTTGACAAATTATCTAGTCCATAATAACTGGTCTTAGAAACAAATTTTTTTTAAGGGAAATAGTCCATTAACATTTTTTTCTTTTTCATTTGATGTTTCTTTTGAAGTTTATTAAGTGAAGATGAGATGAACTTCAAAATCAAAACTAAGGTGTTCTTAATTACTTACGAATTTGCATTGTTTTCAAGTGCTTCGTTGGTATAATTTAAAAGAGTTATGCTACATGTACAAAATTGGGTTACAAAGTTNTTATGCTACATGTACAAAATTGGGTTACAAAGTTGGTTGACAAAATAACATTTACACCAATCATTTTAAAAATAGATTTTTAAGTCATTTGAAATTAACGGTCTAGATTTTGTCAACACACTTTATAACTCTATTTTGTACAAATAGCTTTATTGAATTTAAAAGGTTGCTATAAAAGTATTTCTTATTTCTTTGCTTGAAGGTTCCAAGTCTGCAAAAATGATGCTGAGAAATCCTCGAAGAGAAAGATAAAGAATCGGTACAGAGGGATCCGATAACACCCATAGCTGAGATTCGTGACTAGAATAATTGGGTTGAGTTTGGCTTGGAACTTTTAACACCTTCTAGGAAGCTGCAAGAGCTTATGAAATTGAGGCTCGGAGGACAAGGGGCAAGAAAGCTAAGGTGAATTTTGCAGAAGACGCAAAGAAACCAAAGTCTAGTTCGTTGATGAGAACACTTTAAACAACTTCTTCGAAGAGCTTTCAGATTTGGTGTGAGTATGAGATAAAGCTCTTCCAAAACACTATGGATATTTGGTCTTTCTGTTGATTCTGGAGTATAAATTCCTTATTTGAACAATCTGAGTATACAAACACTAACATAATTATCTTAATGTAATTTGTATAGCGTAATAATATGATTATTTCTACTGCTTCTAACTGTTTATCTTCTGATTGTGTTTCAAAAATGGAATACACTTTCCAATACGATCGGAGAAAAATCAGATAAATTTAATGGGTTAGATTTTTAGCTTCGGCAATAGAAAATGATTTTTTTATCGGAAAACATTAAATTTGACAAAATTTCTCAACAAAGATGCACTTTCATACCTCTAGGAAGAAAACGATGTTGAGAAATTGGTTGCGGTCGATGCATGAAAGTCGGATTTTCTACGCAGAAGCTATCTACTCAATGGACTGGACAATACATTATATAATGTGTACTGCAATGTGAAGTCTGCGAAAGAATTGTGAGAATATTTGGATACAAAGTACAAAATCGAAGATGCCAGTATGAAAAAATTCATTGTCAGTCTTTTTTGGATTACAAAATAGTTGACAGCATGACTGTCATATCTCGAGTTCAAGAACTTCAAATCATACTCAACATTTAGTTAGTGGATCCGCAATATTCACGAACCCAATAGGATATAGGTCTCTGTTGAAAACCAAGAAGATGAAATTGAATATAAAACCTTTGTGAGTAAAGCTATGGAGAATAATTTCTATGGTCTATACTCTTTACAACCGATCACCTATATAGACAGGAGATTCTTAGACTAATTACCTTGAATCTCGCCAAATACAATAAATCAAGAATATTTACGGGGCTAAATATTACAATTTCCTTGTCCTGCTAGTCTATTGGTGGTCCAGGTACCATTCTTAAATATGTGCCTTTCTTCTGTATGTCCTTTCCTATGTGCAATGATACTTCAAAGTGCGACAATTTTCGATACTGTAGCCATCCCTATTGAAATGTTCATAGCTCTTGCTCTTTGATTTGTTGTTGTAGCTACTCTGAAGGCTTTGGACTGCTGCTGTAATGGAGAAATTTTCTATGGTTTATGATGTCATTTGTCGTTGAGACTCCTCCTGAATAATAAGAGAATATGGTTGTCGAACATTGGGCAACAGTGTCTTCATGAGAATGTTGCTGCGAACATTGCTAAAGGTGTCGTTGAGGCCCATAAGAAACTGCATCATTTGGTCCTCTTTTCTTTGTTCCAGGTGTGCCTGGTACTGATCGCAAATAGGCATTGTCCTGTATGTATCCAACTCATCCGACAAGCCCTTAAGTTTAGTATAATATCCTGAGACGATCATGGTTCCTTGTGATAGTGATGTCAACGACTTTTGAATTTGGTAGATTACAGGTGCATTCTTTTAAGAAAATTGATCTTTAAAATCCTCCCAACCTGACAAGATGTTTTGGCATGAACAACACCCTTTGCTAAATCTTGTTCCGCAGAATGTGTAAGCCACGATAAAATCATACCGTTGCTTTGATTCCTTGAAGAAAATGCAATTAGTTTCTCTGTCTATGAAGGGGTTTGATGGAGCCGTTGATGAACTCCATCTTATTTTTGGTAGCAAGGGCGTGTATCATGGATTTGCTCCATGCTTGATAATTGGCTCCATTTAACTTTGTGGAACAAGCACGAGTCCAGGACGATCCGAATGACGAACAAAGTATGGACTTGAAGAATCCATACTTGTTATTGAGGATGATGCTGGAGATTGATAAGTTTTAATGATTTATATGGTCTATATTCTTTACAATTGATCACCTATACAAGAGACTCTTAGACTAATTACCTTAAATCTCGCCATATACAATAAATCAAGAATATTTACCGGGCTAAATATAGGAAACTAAATATTAGAATATAAGGAAAAATATCAAATCCAATTCCCAAATTTCCATTGTATAAACCATACCAAAGTTTTCTAACTTTCCTACGTGGGATAAGTGTTTGACAATTTTCAATAAATCAAAATTTTCAAATGGATTATTTTGACATCAAATATTTTATTCAGTAATAAATAATTTTTGATAAATAGATCATTTTTATCACATCGAGAAATAGAACATGAATATGTTTGACCCTGTTAAAATTGAATAACAGATCCCACTAAAATCATTTCCAACACATCAACGATGATGGGTGGGGTTTACTGAGCCCACTTTCCCGTCTTGCTGGTATTCCGTAGATTATTCAATGTATTTCGCATTTAGCGAATGGATTTAATACTTTTTATTTGCCCATTTAAGTGTGTATGTTGCCGGTGATGATAGGTTGAAGTTGAACAGTCAAAGCCATGGTGGTGTTGCAATAGGCTCGGTTAAACAAGCAGTTCTGTTGTACATAGGTTTGATTAATTTTGAGAATCTCATTTGATGATTTATTTTTTCATTTAATGCCTGTATGGATGATGAAAACTGAAGCTTAATTACTCTCTTCATTTGCTATTCTTGTCTCTCAAGTGTTGTCGGATTAATCTTTTGCTGCATATTGTCCTAGTTTTCCCGTGTTGAAGTTCTCCGTCAACTCAAAAAATGAGTAGTGGTCAACAAAATAATACTCCATGTAAGCTCCTTTTTGCGCACGGTAACACACCATTAGTCACTTGTAGCCTTTTCTGGTGGATGTGGAAGCGGTCTTGAGCATTCCGACGGTCAAGTTAGTGATTTCGTAACTGGAAAGTGGCGTCCGACGGTGAGGTGATCGTCGGAACGTGGTTAAGAGTGTGTATAAGTGCGTGTTCTTCAAAGTTAAGAATTTTCTTTTAAGGCTAGGGATTCCAACAAAAAAAAAAAGGTCCATCTCTCACCCTAACGAGGGAGTACTTGTACCAAGAGGAAGGGAGATGAGAACAGTTAGATGCAGGGACATGTGGCTTTGAATCTCGAGATCTACCCTTCATAGGCGTCAATTCGTTTGTCCGTAGGTTGGCAGTTATTAAATTTTTCCTGACATAGTAGTGTGAGTTGACCGTTTGGAATCTGGCACACGTCCTATCAATCAAGCTAAGAATTTGATTTTGGAGGGGATATTCTCATAAAAGATCTTGGCAGGCGTGGAAAAGTGAATACGAGGTGTAGCGAATGCAGAGTAGGGGTTTACATCCGTTGTGTGTGGCGGATAAGTTCAGAGCTTCTACAAAGTGAACAGCAGTGTTTCAGTTCGGTTTATTGGATTCGGTTCATCCACACGAGTTCAGTTCGCTCGAACAAGGTGGAGGCCACCTCTAATTCAGTTCGTCCGCCATGTGGCCGCACAAAAGTGAGTCCGTTTGCCACGAACTGGATGGATGAGATGGAGGGCTCATGAGGGCCCGTAACAAGTAGTAATTATAGAAGTGTGATTGAAATTAATTTTTGACTGTGATTGAATTCATATATATATATATATACACACACATGCAAACCTGAGCGAAATCGTTAAAATTTTCACTCATGGTTTATACGTAATTTGCTTGCTTGTCCAATTGGATATTTTTACCTCTTGTGCTTTGTACTGACCATCCGTCTCATCTCAAGGTGAATGTAACCAAACTAATAAATAAAAAAATAGCATCAAATTTTAATAAGAAAGATTTTAGTTATTTGAGGAGAGGGTTGGACTAGAGGGATGAGGTGTTGTGAAAAGAAAATGGACCTCATCAGATATCTTTCCTCTGTCATGGCTCGTGATCCCGAATGCATTATTATTATTATTATTATTTTATTTATAAAAACGACAGAGGCAACTGTCATCTACTCACTCGTCGAAATCCAGTAAAAGTAAAATTGAGTCACATGGGCCATCTCAAAGTAATAATTGAGATTTGACGAAGAAAGTGATTTGTGAGTTGGGGTAAGTCCCAAGTAGTCTTCTAAATCCACAAACCAACAAACACACTGCTAGAGGGCAGGTCTTCTTTTGTACATATGGTAATAAGCTCTCCCTATTTTTCACTTCAAAAAAATAATTTTTTTTGTAATAATAATTTTTTGAAGAATGAATTTGAAAAAAATGGAGCGTTCTAAGATAACCGATGAAGGTTGTGCGTTCAAAGTATTTTGGTTCAACAGTATAAAAGCACAAAATGAAGCTTTTTCTTGGGCTTAACTAGTTAGTGACCAAGATGGCTAGTCTCAAGACCAATGGGCCGGAGAATGCATCATTACTGAACCTATTATGAGGCGCAACTGCCCTTATTATCTCTCTCTCCATCCAATACCAGCTGGCCTAGTCCCAATTTTGTCGGTTTTTTGGAAGTTCTGACTCCAGTATTTGGGTCGAAGTGTTGCTTAGGAATTAGGCTACTAACCGTCGGCAGAGAAGGCTTACCACACCAATTGAGCATGTTAGGATGGAAAAATTAGGGCTATGGTCCCTAACTTATCAATTGTTGTGGTTTTAGGTTCTCAATCTTCAAAATTAAAATTTTGGATCCCCAGTCTATGATTCACTATGTGATAGGAACATCATATCTTGAGCGTCTTTCACACGACTTAATAAAGTTCAATGACAAATCCACCTAGCCACTTACTATCTGTGGTTCACGTATTAACGGTTGAGGATCTATAATCTCACTTTTAAAAGTTAAAAGACTCAAAATCACACAATCTGAAATCCTAATTTTTCCCATTAGGATTAGTTAGCAAAAACTTTAAAATATAGATAATGTCTTAGGACAATGCTACATGTACAATACACGTGTTACAACCTCTCATAAGAGAGGTGAACCCAACGACTAAAATAATAGTGGACCTCACCTCCATTGTGAGAGGTTCTAACTCAACATTGTACAATGAGCATTATTCTTTGTCTTAAGTAAAAGAATACAAAATGCAATATTTTAGTGCTAGTCTAGTCATTTCTTTTAATTCTAGTGGACCCAATATTAATCCATGCCCAATGACCCAGGAACTATCCGGGTAACCCGAGTCTCCCCATGCCCAAGTCCTGCCTTGCTTCTCAAGAAGGGTTCTAAAGCAGGTATAAAATAAATTTCAGCCAAATCAAATTAAAAAAATTGAGTCTGCTCTAATTTCTTAATTAAAGGTTAGTCAGATTCAGATCCACTTTATTTTTTTGAAATTATTCAGTGAAAGTTTGGATTTTGATTTGGCAGAATTGTGTTAAGCTGTTTAAATTTGTACCCTTTCCTAATATCTGCGTGTTTAACTTATCTGCAGCCATCTTATTTGAGCTCTAATAATCGAATTGAGAATGTTCCTCACAAGGTAAAAAAGAATCTCATTTCGATCTCGAAACCTGGTTTTTTTTTGGATGTTATAATGTTCTGTTTTGTTAGATTTTTTTGAATTTTTATGTGAATTTATTATTTTTTTAGGACTGAGTATGATAGAGGAGTTAACACTTTCTCTCCGGAAGGCCGATTGTTTCAAGTTGAATATGCCATTGAAGCCATCAAGGTAACCACACTATGAATCTTTTTTTTTACTCACCTTTTAAGAGTCTATTTTAAACTATTGTGGGTTTTGATTAAAATTAGTATTATTTGTGATCCTTGTAGTTGGGTTCCACTGCGATCGCCATAAAAACTAAGGAAGGGGTGGTTCTTGCGGTCGAGAAGCGCATTACCTCTCCACTTTTGGTACATTTGCTACCCTTTTCATGGTCTAGAATTTCTATAGTTTAATATTATCGCTTCAACTTGTTCTGTTAACACCAAAACAGGATTACATTGTCTTTAGGTAATGGTAATAGTACTGATATCACCTTATGTTACTTCTAAATTTAATTTCTCGGAGGTGTACTTGAAAAAGATGTTAATCATTGCGCAAGTAATGGAATTTGTTGTCTGTAGAGCTTCAGCCTTCATGAGAGTAATCTCTGAGAAACTTAATGCTGAAGGAGATTAGAGCTACTCTGGTTGAAAGAAGGAGCTTATAGAATAAGAGATTATCCTTTCTTTTCCCATTGTCACTGTGCCTCACTCCCATGTTATCTAAAGCTTGCACTGCATTTGACATAGTTTGAATTTACTAGCTCTTTTTTATGTTAGATGCTTTTGTTGACATAAAAAAATTGTGTTATGTTTCTAATGCATTTCATTTTCTAATTCTGTTGTAGGAGCCTAGCAGTGTGGAGAAGATTATGGAAATCGATGAGCATATTGGCTGTGCTATGAGTGGTTTAATTGCTGATGCCCGAACTCTGGTTGAACATGCTCGAGTTGAAACTCAGGTACCTGTAACCAATCATCTTCGTTTCAATCTGTTGTCCATGGTAGAATTGTGTGGGCAGTTGTTTATTATTTGGTAATGTTGTTTTTTCAGAATCATAGGTTCTCTTATGGCGAACCCATGACAGTCGAGTCAACTACACAAGCTCTCTGTGACCTTGCCCTGCGATTTGGTGAAGGAGACGAAGAATCAATGGTTAGAATCTGTCTGTTATCATACTTATAAATTTCCCATAACTTTATTTGCTCTTTGGATGTTAGAATTCTTTGCCTTGCACCATTTGTGTCTAGGGATATTAATCTACTGCTGTAAAACTTGGTGTTCTCTTCTTATCTCTTCTTTTTACCTTTATTTTGAGAAATTATATTTGTAATTTGATTATAACTATAGCCCTGTATATAATCCTGAGCATTCTAAGTTTATTGCTTCTTGAGACCACGTTGAGAGATGTGCCATCTTTGAGTGAAACTTTATGTAGATTGTGCTATTTGTATATCTTAAAGCCTTGAACAAGAGTCTACCCCCATCATGCTGTTCATTGGTCTCCTAAAATCTTTGACAAGAGAACGAGGATTGATAATATACACTTTGGGCTTTGTGGGTATGTAAATTTATAAGATAGACAGGCATAGTTGCCCAGGAGGATAAATTTTTCAATGAAGTAAACTTCGCTTTTGGGATGTACTTCAGTTTGTAATGTACTTTGAGCTGCTGGGTATGTAGCTTTATCAACCCCATAGGATATGGAATATGAAATAAGTTGTACCTTACTTTCCTTTCTAACAGCACTTTAGAATTATACTTTTTTGCATTTTAATTTAATATTAGGTTTCATTCTTTTCATGCAGTCTAGACCGTTTGGTGTATCTCTTCTTATCGCTGGTCATGATGAGAATGGTCCCTGCTTGTAAGTATTACTTCTATTTGAATATTACTGTGAGACTAGAGAGTGGGTCATTGGTGTAACGTATTATTGCAGTGGTCTAGAATATTTCCGCCTCCACTTAATTTGCTCATCAACTTGCAGCAGTCACACCTCCGTAAATTTTTGAGTGAAATGTTATTCGTTAAACTGCGATTAAGAAAAAATATTGATTTTTTTTAATAACCGTGGGTGTCCGGGCCAGCTTGCGAGCACCTCGATTAATCCCACGAGATTTAGTACTGCAAATTATGTGTCCATATTCTTGGGCACACATAGTTTTTAACTACCGTGTGAAGAGAACTTTGATACTTCTCTATCCAATAATTCATTTTTATAATATTAAATCACCTGCATATACGATTTTCTAGTTAAGAAATCTGCTGCTGTCTACATTCTATTGGTTTTTATTTTTACATCCTGTAATTCCTGGTCTTCTTTGGAGCTTGTTAGTTAATGACTTAATATATTAGTAATTGTAATCTGGCAGCAGTGTTATGCAGTTCCTGGATTTCTTCTGCTTCTGTGTATTGTGCTTGAATTTGTAACGATTACACTTGTTGAATGTGAACGGTTGAGTTTCCATTCTGTAACGGTTGTTGTTTCTGTTACTGTTTCGTATATAAATTGTCTACACGATCCAAAATCAAGTTATCTATGAAATTGTTAAACAAATTTAAGGGTGACCGTTAAATTTTCAGGAAACCCGTTCTCCCTGTAAAAAAAGCTACTATTGATTCTGAAATGTGCTGTTTGTGTGGAATTTTTTAGATATATCTATTTCTGCTGGTATATTCTATTGAGACAGTTGATGCTAAATGGACTTTTGTGATAAACAGGTACTATACTGATCCTTCTGGCACATTCTGGCAATGCAATGCAAAAGCCATTGGTTCAGGTTCTGAAGGTGCTGACAGCTCTTTGCAAGAGCAGTATAACAAGGTACTGAGTTTTTTACTTAACTACATGTTTACATCTGATTGACCAGTCATAAGTTTCTAGATATTTTAGACGTCAAAACTGAACTCGGAGTTTTAGTGAGACGTGTACTATGTATGACTGTCCATGTTGAAATATCATCACATGATGCAAAAGTGAACAACTTAGGACATGAGGTTCATTTGTTTGTTTGCGTGCAGGATCTAAGTCTTAAAGAAGCTGAGACCATAGCACTTTCCATTTTGAAGCAAGTTGTGGAAGAAAAGGTAAAGCTGCTTCGCGATTGGCACTCATTACAAGTTTATAAGCTTTTTTCCCTTTTTGGACTTCGGTAAATTTTGCTGGTTGATGAGCAGGCTTGTGGATCGGGTTGGTAGGTAATGTATTCTTGGGTTTTGAATGTTTTTTTTGACACTTATACCCACTTTTTTTGGAATGTCAGGTTACCCCCAATAATGTTGATATTGCTAGTGTGGCCCCAAGATATCATCTTTACACCCCATCTGAGGTCGAAGCTGTTATCAATCGCCTATGAGAAGGGCATCTAGCAGTTCCAGTGTTGATCTTTACTATGATTCAGTTCCCATTATTGCTATGTTGGCTTCATGTGTAATGCAAATCTCAGATTTTGCTTTGAAATGTGTTAAAACTGTCTTTTCAGTTAAATGATGAACTTGAAATGTTTAATTTTTGTGCTTCCTGAGTGAATGTGCATGCTTATATCGACCCCCTTTTATTGTATGAAGAACTAATATGTGCTACCTCCAAGTGCCATTTATGTTTCCTACTAAGATGTGTGCAGTGCCTTGAAGCATAAATGTAACTTGATTTGCCCTTTCTTTGTCAGGAATTCTGCACTTACCCCTCACCCTGTAGAGTAGAACACGAATGCTCACTGTGATTTTAAGCTGCTTGCATAGCCAAATACATTTATGCCCTCTAAACGTTAGAAGTAGCTTTACTAAAACTTGCACTTGATTGCCAACTAATTCAGACTTTAAAACCATCTCATCCTGCACGTTTCGCTAAACTCCAAATCGATTACAGACCAATAGATAGATTCTTGAAAACAATTTTGAGATAATTAGGGTTGATAGTCTTATTCAATCTAAGCAAATTCACAATAACATAGCCGCAAGAGACACTCGTAAACACTAGTTGATACATCCAATCCAAGAATTACGAGTTTCAATTTCATAACCCTAAGGAGAATGGAAATCCAGTAGAGCTCAACCAACTGCCAGCGGCAATGAATATGCCTGCGCTATAACTCTGCGCCTCAGTCGCACTAGTAATCACTTTAAATCCTCTCCATGTCACTCTCCCGGAGGTTGAGGCGCCGGCGCCGGTGTTTTGATACTCGCCATAGAACAAAGTATTAAGCGCGAAATTTCCATTCCATTCATGCCAACCAGCAGGATTAATTACGTCAGTAATAGAAGATTGCATTATAACAGTCCTCGAATACTCCTTCCACGGCCGCCCGAGATATGTGGGAAAATTTCCCTGAACGGGTCTTAAATCCGAAGTGGCTCCGATTCTGCATTTCTGAATTACAATACCCGTGTTTTGATTTGGATCCGTTCTTCCTTGAGCTGTGACCATGTTTCTTTGACCAGAATCCGGCCGTCGTGCGTGGATGTCGCAGTCTTGGAACACTGCTGCAGCGTTGCCAAAGATGAAATCAACGGTGCCAGAGATTAAGCATTGGACGAAGAATTGACGATTGTTGTGGACGTAAAGGGTGTCTTGATAGGCTAACATATCACATCTGTAGAAAGCTGATAAATCAGAACCGACACGGAGAGCCACTGCTTGGTGCTTCGACGGTCCAGCCGTATTCTGAAAAGTGATGTCCCGAGCCAAGAACCTTTCACCCACCGCGGCTGCACACACGGGGAGATATTTTAGCAAAAAATAACACTATTTAGCCCCACTAGAGTCATAACTCCGGTCTACGTATATATTATTATTTGGCCACACCGTCAAAATATTTTAGTATTATATACATACATTAATGGATTCGTTGTAGAAAAGAAATTGCATGTACAAATCAAAGAAATATTTTGTCGGCCATAATTTCATTTTCTTAAAGAAGAACATGTTACCTTTTAATCATGTATATAAAATAAAAGAAAATAATTGCACCAAAAGGTCAATTTAACACATCGAAAAGTTGCAAATAAAATAGAGCTGGAAACAACTAGAGTTTTATATTATTAATTTTACTTTTTAACAATCTAAGCGATAGCAAGGAATAATGTTGTCATTCAACAAGTGACTATAGGCGGGGTTTGATTTTAGTACCTTAAATTGAAATTTCTTTCTTAAAACTTAAATTTTATTTTTTAGCGCTGGAATGAATTTAAAGAAAGAGAACTGAAAGAACTTACCGACGGTTGCAGAGTGGAAGGTGGTGCTACCATCTTTTACATTTCTGCTTCCGGTGATAATAGTGTTGCTTCTGCCATCTCCCAAGAACATTATGTTAGTTTTCTTCTTGGGCACTTCCACATTTTCCCTATAAACGCCAGCCTTAATTCTAATTACATATCTCCTGCTACTCTTCTCCGGCGCGGCATTCACCGCAGCAGACACCGTCCTGTAATTCCCACTGCCGTCAGCCGCCACCACCACGTCGGGAGTCACGGAGGAAGACTGCAGCAGCCTCCTATCTCCGGCAGACAACCACTTGGGCCACCCATTCGTGCCAATATCATCATCTTCTATAAGCTTTCTTCCACTCAATTTCATCTCATTTGCGATATCCGTATCAGTCATGTTCTTGATCATGGCCAAAATATTACTACACATTTTGTCAACATGGTCTTCTCCTTTAATCAACTCTTCCCGCACGTGCTTATCTGCACCATCGTGCGAGAATCCATCGAGGCAGGTCTCTTGGTTAGTCATGGCAGAACTCAGTAGGGTTTTTAGATCATCAGCATGTTCTTTAAGAGATTTCTTGTTGGGATACTTTTCAAGATCCTCAACAGCTTCATGGAGCTCATCAAGGGTCTCATCGATCGTCTCTAGACAGTCGTGTAATGCAGTTCTTTCGCGTTCTGTCAAATTCTTGCCCTTAGCTACGAGCTTCTTTATCTTGAAGTAATTGTGCTCAACAGTAGTATGGGTGATATTCAAGGCTAATTCAATTACATCCTTTTGGCTTTTGACTTTTTTGTTTTCTGTAAGAGAATTGGCTATGGTGGAATAGCATAAATCTGGGTATAATGTACTGCTGCATGAAGATTTGACAATGGTGTGAGCTGGGGAGATTTTTATATCGGCAATTTGGGAGTCTTTTTTTCTTGAATTCACTCCGGCGACTACTGCAATAACTGCAGCAATTAATAAGACTGAAGCAACAAGAGATAGAAGTACAAGTTTTTTCTTCTTTTTGGATATTTGATTGTCGCCAGAATGTAAGCCGGAATATGACATTCTGGCGAAGAAATCCTTAATGCGGGACATTGGATTGGGTGGTGTGGGGACGGGGTGGCGGAGAGGGGATGAAGAGAGGTTGCAGATTAAGAAGTATGGATATATGAGTTTATATAAGTGATTGGGAAATGGTGTCACCTATTTAACACATTCTCTTTTACTTGTTTAAATTTCAAAATTTCAATCTCGGTCCCTACCCTCGTCTCTTTGTTACTATCTTTATTCTCTTCGACTTTTATTCATTATTAAAGTATGTAATAATTAGAACTTTTTCTTTTCTACTTTTATTCCGTTCCAACAAATTTCTTCATGAATTTGCTTGCACCCGTGTTGTAGCATCTTTTCGTGATTTCATCCAACATAGCTTTTGTCGTCTTTGCCCCCCGGTGACTTAATACTAGTAGTTGTTTGAATTTTTGATAAAAAACGCAGAAATGTGTAATTAAAAAGTCGGTACTTAAGAAATGTACGATTAAATTGAACTCTTAACAAGTTGAAAAATTTATGAAACAAACATCAAGCGTCATGTCGTCATAATATACTTTATTAAGAGGGGTCGTACACGTAAAAATAACAATTGTGACGAACTCAAGTGCGTGGATAAATATGGTCGTTTTTTCTCTCTAACTTTGTCTGATTATAGCCAACTAGCCATAATAAACCATCACACTTTGTGCCTTTTGATTTTTCTTTAATTATTACGTTAGAATGACCAAAAAGTTAAGCAGAGGCTTAACTTTTTGACTGGCTCAGAGATGATTATGTTTTTATTAAATTCAAAAACATTAAATAAGCATTTGCTACAGTGGTTTATTCATATTTAATTGAAGAAGAATATTGGGTTTTTTTTAATGAAAAATAAATAAATAAATTATGTTGGTTGATTACCTGCTAGAATAAGGAGGATGGACAAACTTAAAGACCACTTTAACATGCTACGAGATAAAATGTCATTAGCGACTAAAGTTTCTACCTTTCACAATTAAAATTATATTGGTGAAAAATTTTAAAGACGGAAAATGTCAATTGAAAATTTAACGAAGAAAGTTTGAATCCATAAATATTATTAATAGAAAAAGCCATCGTCTATGATAGCTTGACATGAATCTTCACTGCATGTCATCAATAGTAAAATTTGTCAATGATAATTGACAAGTGTAGTTGTGGTTGGTAGCACGATGAAATTTCATAACGGGAAGCATCATTAAATCATAAATGAAAGTGGGCACTTTATCTATTATATATGAATTCAATTTTTTAAACATCGACAAAAAGCTCTAAGGAAAATAAATTTAAGCCTCCATTCGTAAACGGTTTTGCGTCCGAATACTAATGAATATCTTCTACGTAAGCCGTGGATTGATTGGTTGGTTGGTGCCCACCTTGAACATTTCAAAAGAACAGCAAATCATCTCCTTAAATTAATGCTGGAATTGTGCACAACAAACAGAAATTCTCTGCATGCTAATTCTTTAATCTCTACAGCTGTACATCGGTTCAGAAATTAATTTGCAATACCACCGCAGGTGGCGGCTGACATTTTACATTTTTTCTTTTAAATTTCCACATGGCCAATTTTTTATTCTATAAAGATTTCCTTGTGATTTGTGAGATTCCTGTTGTTTTTTCTTTTTTCTCCTCAAAAGTGGGTTGAGACAAATTATTCTGCTTTATTTATAAGTAAATAGGATTAGGGAAAAATTATTATTATTATTATTTTTATCTTCGTTGATTTTATCCATGAATAAATATAATAAACCATTTTTTTATTTAATATTTATCAACTGTTCTTCACATGTCGAAGTTTTTGTAAAACATATCAATTTTATTTGTATATAAAAAGATGCGATATTTACTTTAAAATGATTTAACATTAAACATAAGGAAAAATTGCTTTATGGTCCGTTTTTAATCTTTCATCACGGTAAGACAATTAGCCCTTAATAATCGAAACTATCCTTAAAACGATCAAGTGAACCTCATAACTACAAGTTAGTGAAGCTAACTAACTAAGTTTTAGTTCTCGACTTGCACTGATGTCCAAAAATTTGAAATCGAACAGGACTTCACAAGAATCACGTACGTGGTAAATTTAAGGAAGATTTAGATAGTCTTTTCATTAAAAACAGATGGTACGACAATAATAAAGGTCAAAAGATTAATTTTCTCGTTTTCGAAACGAGCCCTACTTCTTTTCCTTTTTTGTGAACAATTTTAAATGGGAAATCAAAAAGAAGATATTGTCCTTTTACTTTGGGAAGGGACATGATAATTTGCACATGGTTGTGGGACCAGTTACCAACCACAGACTTGCACTGTACTGGAATACAATGTTATCTTTTTAGATGGCACGACTCATATTGTGACTTTTTTAGTTTAAAGTGGACATACGTTTAGACTTGGCAACGCGGAAAGGCACAAAGTCTCTTACAATTAAATTATGCAAATATTAAATAATGAAGAATTTTATTCTTTTTCAATGCAGAAAATAAAATATTCTTGCTTCTCTGAGTAATGATGAATATTTAAAATTCTTCATCCAAGACAATCATAACCCTATTCTTTATCGACCTTTAATGGAACGTGATGCTTACAACTTGTTCATGTCGTATTCACTAGATGTTTCTTTTCATGGTAGGTGTGGTTTGTTGAGGGTGTGGAGTCGGTGAAATAACACGTGTTACCTTACAAGTAACTTTAACTTGTAATTTGTAAAAAATGTTGGTTTGTAATGAAAAATTAAAATTTTTATTTTGAACGATAACGAGGTATATTTTAAAAAATATATAGATATATAACAGAAGTAATTGTAAAATAATGATTTATAATGACAAAAGAATTAGGTATTCTTCTTCTGTTTTTTAAGAAGGACAGAAATTATGTGTGTAAAGAGTTTTAATTTGCTAAGCCGCCTCTTTATATAAACTATGAAACGTCATAAACTTAAGACAATTTAACTCACGTTCTTACTTCTACTTACGACTGTACGTAAGCCCATTTTGTTCGAAATTTTAGCCGCCTATGTTTTGTGTCAAACTTCTTCATAGTCGGCAAAGAGCATAGAAGGAAGTAATTGTAAAATAATGATTTTTCATGAAAAAATTGTAGAAATGGGGTTTTTTTTTAAAGCTTTTTAGAGAAAAGTAGGGTAATTTATTTGATGTTATTTATTTTTCTTAAGAAGGGTAAAAATTGTATTGTGAAAGAGTTTGCATGTGCTAGGCCGCTGATAAGTGTATTTTGTAAACTTATTTAGACCATTAAATTAGAATATTTGTTAGTAATTTGAATGAGTTATAGCTTAATTTTGTGTTAATTATATTTTTTAGGTTAAACTCAATGCAAATTGATGGATTTGGAAGAAACGAAAGAAAAACGCGCGAAAACGAAGGAAATCAAAAGTTTGGAGACCAAAGTGTAAACATCCAATAGATGATTCGGACCACAAAACGATAATTGAAGATCATATTCGATGAATTGAATACAATTGGAGGTCAAAGAAGTGAAATATAGTGGAAATATTTTCACAAATCAATTTCCAACCGAAAAAGTTATGCTCCAGATTTTTATTCTTAACTTGAGACCAATTGTTCGGATAGAAAGTGTTCGAATTGGACAATTTGTACTTCAAGACGAATTGTAGCCATTTGAATTACCTTTCCAACACATTTTGAATCAGCTCAATCGGATGCATATGAAAAAAGTTGAGATCAAAATACCGAACGCTATTCAGAGACTACCCTGCGCCGCGTGCAGACAAATTCTCTCGCGCGAGCACAAGCATGAATTTTACTTATCGAGCCTAAAATCAATGAATGGTGCGCACGCAAGGAAATATATGATGCACACGCACATGCATTTTTTACAGACGAATCTTTAGTTTCTTTTCGCGATTCAAACTCTTTTGGAAATCAAATTGGATGCGATTTTAACCTATTTTTTGGCTCTTATAAATAGAGAACGAGGGATACACATAGAAAACGCTCCCTTGTCTCTTCATACACCATAGTCTCATCAAATTCTTCAAGAACAAAATGTCAATTACTATATTTTGAGAGATGAGATTAAGTCATAGCAAGGAATTGAAAGTCAATTGAAATTGAAGATCAACATCTTTTGATTTATTTCATGATTCGGGCGATATTTTTCTATTATTTTTCTT